GCCAGCCGAGGCTGAGATCATGCAAACAGCAACAGGACGGGGTCTGCAGGGCTGCCGTCCTCCGGGCTGCTCCAGCCAGGCGTGCACCTCTTCTGCTCTTCAGCGTGAGATGGAAGCAGCTCGCCACGCAGCAGGACACAAAACACCGCACAGCTGACCAGGGAGTTTTTGGTAAGGATGGAGCAAAGTGGGGAAACCGCATCCCCTCAATCAGACGCACCTTTCCACATCCACCACTGCTCAGAACCCTCGGGATCCCATCAGCCCTGGGCTCCGATCAGCCACGTTCGTCCTCTTTCCCATCCCCGACTCACAGCTCTTGCTGTCCAGGTGTCCCTGCAGCCCCCGGTCCCCACGTCCCGCTGCATGCTGCTGCCGACACCAGGCCTCCTCCCAGCCCACCACCCGGCTCATTATCTGCAGTCCCTGCTCAGCTCCACCTCCTCCTCCTCCTCCTCCTCCTCCAGGTCCCAATTTCCGCTCCTCCCAGGTGTCTCCTGACCTCCCCGGTGCCTCCCCATGCCCCAAACCCGAGCGCTCCTCAGCAGAAGGCACCGGACCCACGCAGCCCGAGCTGAGCAGTTCTGAGGTGCCAACCCCATCAGAAAGGAATGAATCACAGAATGTCACCCGTTGGCACAGACCCACAAAGGATCCCCCGAGTCCACATCCAGGCTCTGAGAGCAGATCCCCACTGACCACACTCTGCTCCATCCACCACCTCCGCGGTCCAAATGCCACACCACCTTCATGTCGGGTGCTCCCTATGGGTCCCTTCCAACTGGAATGCTACGATTCAGTCCTTTCTGGTGAGATCAGCACCTCCAAACTCCACGTTGCAGACTAGGCCAGCAAGGCAGATCTCTGGATCTCAGGCACCCAGCGAAGAGCAGGGGGAACTTCTCAAATAAGATCACCTTCCATTTAAGCACCCATATCACCTGGCAGCAAATCCCCACCACAAGGCAGCAGATGCTCCCAGCATTGATTTCATCCATCACTTCAAGCAAGCAGAGTTCAGCCACCACAGTGTGAAACCCAGACTCGGCACAGACAACATTCCACGTGGGACAAATAAAGAGGAGCAGCAGCAGGCAGTTGAGCACTGCTGGGAGGAGAGAAACATGCATTCACCTCTCCAGCCAAGGAAGGAAGAGTCCAAGGAAGCACAGCCTTGTCACTCAGCAATGCCAGAGGCTGACACATCCTCTCATCGGATCCAGGGCTGAACAGCATCAGAAGGGGATGTGGGAAGTGCTGGTCCAGGGCTAAACAGCATCAGAAGGGGATGTGGGAAGTGGATCCAGGGCTAAACAGCATCAGAAGGGGATGTGGGAAGTGCTGGTCCAGAAGAAAACCATGCCACCCCTCTATTCCTTCACTTCAAATCCACCACCGCTGCCTTCCCCCAGAATCCTGCTTTGCACCCTTGAAAACAAACCTGCTCTGGCTGGGCGTGCTAACAATGACTGCGTACTCTCATTCGTGTTTTTCTACGTGATCCCCATTTATTACCCTCCTGTCCCTCCCCTACACACACACTTCAGTAATTGACCGCCCTGCGTAACGCTGCTGGAGGATCTGTTTGTGCCCACACAGCAGCCGTATCCCGCAGCAACGTCCTCCTGCACGAGATGTGTGTGTAGGAACACCTCCTGGCATCCAGGAGAGCAGCTCTCCCTGCTCACATCACGACCCCCTGTGCCAGCCCAAGGGTGGTTCTGTACCAGCACATCCCTGCTCTGCCGGAGCGCAGCAGCTCCATCTGCGCCACGTGCCATCGGCGGCTCCACGGCAGGAGATCTGCTGGGGTGGCTGCAGTGGGAAACACCATTTCTGCTCCCTCCTCCCCACACGGCAGCCCCAGCAGCTGCTTGGGCAGCATGGGAGGTGCAAAGCCCGTTTCCCAGCTGCGCACCTCTGACCCTCACCTCTACTCATAAAGAAGAGCGCGACCACACAAAGTCCAGCACAGCATTTCTCTTCCAGGTCTCTGCCAGGATAGGCAGTAGAGCCTCACCTCAGCCACAGGCAGTGCCTTTACACACGCTCGTTCATGAACAGGCCTATTTCCCTTCTAAGCCTACGTAAATTATGAGCAAACCTTGATTTGCCTCGTGCGAAAGCTGCTGCACACCTCCCACCAAGCTCCTTTCTGCTCCCTGCACCTCTTCTGACTCTCCCACCACTTTTGGGACTGCAGGGCTACAAGCACCATTTATAGGACAACAGCCTCTTTTTTTTATTTTCCTCTTTTCTGTTGCTTTTCTGATAACTCCTCACCAGAGAAGTCTAAAAATTGAGGACGTTCCATTGCCACCAAGGCAGCCACGATGCCAGGACAGGTTACAGCACCAGTGCTGATGCTGCAGAGCAGAGCAGACGTAAAACCCGGAGTTCAGCAACTGCATCCACCAGTACAGTCAGAGTGAGAGCAGAAAGGAGGCACAGAGGGGAGGACAGATGTAAAGTGGGCAGGATCGGACCCTCCTGACTGCAGAACAAGCCAAGTGTCGGCATAAAATTCCCATTTATCATCCAAAAGATGCTCTTGAAAGCTGAGGAAAAAAAACAGTGTCTGCAGCTCAGGCAGAAGTCCAAACAGCTCTACGTGAACCAAGCTAAGGCTGCGACTGCTCACAGGGCGAGGAGCAGCGAGGATCAGCAGGTTCATTGAGAGGTGTTGCAATGGGCCTCCTCTGCAAGAGGACGCTCATCATCAGCCCCAACCTGCCTGCAACACCAGCCTCCCAGCAGCCTGAGAAACATCTCTGCCCGGAGCTCATCCCTACAGACACGATGGGAGAGAGCCAGCAGAGGAAGAGCCGCCGCTCCATCCCTGACCCGGACTGGCTCAGGGTGCCTCCAACAAGAACAAGCAGGGAGGCACAGAGAAGAGCCACCACTGCAGCAGAATCCATACAGACAGGGATGCGCTCATGGTTCAGTGGAGCAAAAATGAAACACATCGCTGCGGACTGAATTAAAAGCAAGGCTTTGGGCTTTTTTTTCCCCCCCAGATCCTTTTTTCTTTCAGTCTTGATGGCAATAAGAACACGCCAGTAGTTCAGAGAATGAATCGAACGCTTGGCTTGGAAAGGACCCTAAAGCTCACATGAAAAAGTTGGGTCGAAAAGGACCTTAAAGATCACCCATTTCCAACCACGGCCTGGGTGCTCCCCACCACGTTAGGCTTCCCAGGGCTCCAGCCACAGGCCTGGGTGCTTCCAGGGATGGAGAAACAAGAGAAGCCCAACGAGACGCTTTAGAACAACAACATCGTTACGTTTTCCCCTTGATAATTTCAATAAAGAGGCAACTTGGCTCACATTTACTCCTAGGAGCTCCTATCCAAACACTCTGCAGTGACACACTCCCTCTCTCCAGCACACTTAACCACCTCTTGAAGAAAGGTACAATCACCAAGGGTGCGTGAAGAATTCCTTCCAGAATTCCTTCCACTCCTGTCCCGAGGTTCTCTCCCTCCTGAGAGCACAGGCTCACAGTCCAGCTCGACTCGCTGCGTCCCACACTGCTCACCACCACTTCAGCACAAAGGAGCACGGCTGTGTTCAGAGCTCTCCCTGGGGAAAGGTCACAAAAACCATCACCACAAAGATCCACAACGATGCTCAGAGGACCGGAGCACCTCTGCATGGAGAAAGGCTGAGGGAGTCAGGCTCGTTTGGCCTGGAGAACAGAAAGCTCCAGGGAGACATCAGTGCAGCCGCCCAGTACTTGAAGGGAGATTCTAAGCAGGAGCGGGACTGACCTTTTACATGGACTGACAGCAATAGGAAAGGCTTTTAAGTTAATAGGGGAGATTGGAGTGAGATGCGAGAGGGAAATCCTTTCCCGAGAGGCAGTGAGGCCCCAGCACCGCTGCCCAGAAACACGGGTGCCATCCCTGGAGCTGCCCAAGGCCACGGATGGGGCGAGCTGCTGGGGGGCAGCCAGGCCACGGCAGGGGGGTCCCTTCCAGCCCAGGGATTCTGTGGCTCTGTGATTCTATGAAGGAAACCATGGGAACGGGAGACACCCGGGTCCTGCCCACAGACACCTACAGACCTCCGCCATCGGATCTGCACCGTTTGTGCCGACACACAACAAACAATTTACCTCAGCGACATCTGTGCAAAGTGCTGGGGTGGATCGGAATTAGGGAAGGACCACAGAATCACAAAGGTTGGAGAAGACCTCCGAGATCACCAGCCCAACCCCAACCCACCCCACCGAGATCACAGAATGGCCAGGGTTGGAAGGGACCTTAAGGGTCATTAATCTCCAACCCCCTGCCACACGCAGGGAATCACCGGTCCAACCCCAACCCACTCCACCGCGCCTGCTGACCGCGTCCCCACGCGCCACATCTCCACGGCTCTCAAACACCTCCAGGGACGGAGATTCCCCCACCTCCCCGTGCAGCTGTGCCGCCGCACCACCACCCCTACTAAGAAGAAACACCCCCTAATATCCGACCTGAACTCCCAACGTGGGCCCTTCACCTCCTGTCCTATCGCTGATCCCCGGGAGCGGCGGCCGCCCCCCCCCCCCCCTCGCTCCAGCCCCGCTCACGGCCCGCACGCAGGGAGCACCGAGGTCTCCCCGAGCCCCGCTCCGCCCCACGCCGGCCCCGCTCAGCCCCGCCGCTTTTCTCCGGACGCACTGCGGGCTCCCGGTGCGTTTTCTGCACTCCGAAGCCGAGCGGCGCACACGGCAATAAATAACAACAAACTTCCTCCCTGCCCGCTACGACCCGCGGACCGAAACGAACCCTTCCGTTCGCGCCGCCCCCGCCCGGCGCCGAAGCGCCGAAGCTCCCGAGCTCGCAGCCGGCCCCGCTCACGTCTCCGGGCGGCTTCGGGGCCGCAGCCCGCGGGGCGATCCAGGCCCGGAGCTCCGCCGGGAGCGCCGCGAAGGCCGCGCCGACGGGCGGGGGAAGGGAGCGGAACGCCGGGCCGCGGTGCCGGGGCCGAGGCGGGGCCGGGCCGAGGCCTCACCTTGGGCAGCTCGCGGAGCTGGTTGGCGTCCAGCAGCAGCTCCTCCAGCGAGCGGCTGTAGCGGTAGATCTCCTCGGGCACGGCCTGCAGCGAGCAGTGCCGCCGGTCCAGCGCCTCCACGTGCCGGTTGCAGCGCCAGAGCGGCGGGACGCAGCGCAGCATCGCGGCCCGGATCGGTCCGGGGAGGGGAGAGGGGAGGGGGGAGAAACCGGGAGAGCCGCGCCGGGAAGGGCCGCCCGGGGGGGGGGGGGGGAGGGCCCGGATGTGCCGTGCGGAGGGGGCGGCGCCGAGCGGGGAAGGGCCGGGCGGCACCGCGGCACCGCCGTGCGAGAGCACCGCCGCCGACGGGACGCGGCTCGGCCCGCCCCCCGCGGGCGGCGTCGGGAAACGGAGTGCGGAGCGGAGAGGAGCGAAGCGGTCGGTGCGGCACCGAAAGGCGGCGGGGCGACGGGAAGCCGCGCTGTGCCCCGGGAGCTGCTGGCGACGGCCTCGAGTGGTGCTGGGAACGTTCGGAATGGAGACGGGAACGATTCCTTGTTGGAAAGAGCGGTAACGTGCGCTGGCAAAGGATGCTCGGGGAATCGCAGAATGGCCCGGGTTTGAAGGGACCCCAAGGATCACGAAGCTCCAACCCCCACCACAGCATGGCCAACCTGCTGCCTCTCGTGGGCAGCTGTTCCAGCACCTCATCGCTCTTACAGCAAAGAACTTCCCCTGACATCCAACCTCAGTCTGCCCTCCCTCAACTTCAGACCATTTCCCCAGCTGCCCAGAGAGGCTGTGGATCTCCATCCATCCATCCCCCGTCCATCCCTGGAGGTGTTCAAGGCCAGGTTGGATGGGGCCCTGGGCAGCCTGGGCTGCTGTGAAATGGGGAGGTTGGTGGCCCTGCTGTGGTGGGGGTTGGAGCTCCGTGATCCTTGGGGTCCCTTCCAACCCGGGCCATTCTGTGATTCTGTCCTTAGGGAAGCTGTGCTGTCAACAACCAGGTGAGGGTCAGGTTGGACGTCAGGAAAAGGTTCTTCCCTGGAGGGCAGTGGGCATGGAGCAGCTCCTCAGGGCGGTGGGCACAGCCCCGAGCTGCTGGGGGTCGAGGAGCATTGGGACGCTTCTCTTAGACATTGGGTTTAGATGGTGCTGTGTGGGGCCAGGAGTTGGATTCAGTGATTCTCGGGGATCCCTTCCAGGTGGGAATATTTGATGATTCTAAGAACCACCCCCTCTGTTCTCTGTATGCATCAGCAGTTTCCAGGAGAATGGCTGATTGATTGAAGTTGAAAAGGGACCTTAAAGATCACGGGCTGCCAACCTCCTGCTGTGGGTTGGGTGTCCCCACCAGCTCAGCCCAGGGCCCCGTGTCCCATCCTTGGGCACCTCCAGGGATGGGCATCCACTCTTCTCTGGGCAGCAGTGCCACAGCTTCACCCCCTCCGTGTGAAGGACTTCCTCCTCTTTTTTTGCTGGCATCCTCTTTCAGAATGACGAGGACACCCACTGCTGTGTTAGCAGCACACAGCCCTGTCACTGCCACAGCAGGAAAACTGAGGACCCACATAAGAGGGTGTGTAGGAAACCACCGTCAAATTGGAGTTTTCATAGGGGAAGTTGAACTGTTTACCTGGAATAAAGGTTATGTGGATGGAGTCTTCCCAAATACACTGAAATACTAAAGAAACTTCAGCCTCGATCTCTTCCTGCTCCTGGGATCAGCAATCCTCAGGATTCTCCCACTTTGCACTTTCACAGACCACCAGCAGGAACCGGACAGAGAACAGCATTCCATACATTGAAGACCTGAAATCTGAGGTCCGGGGCCAAATAAAACATGGGGTGGAATGCAGAGCTATAATAAGGTGCATCCGTGCACGGTGTCACTCAGGGATTGGTTGCCGCTTTTGTCCAAGCATTGAAATCTCAGTCAGGAGACTCAGAAAAACGTGTTTCATTGCTGGGGTTGGATAGGGACAAACAGGAGGAACAGAAAGAGGAACAGGCTGGAACCCAAGGAATACACAGACCGAACTTGGCTGAGTCTGCTGGAGTTATTAAACACCAGACAGAGCTCACCGGAGCACCTTTATCCATTGGGGTGACACCTCAAGCCTTGGAAGCAATCCTGCGCAGGCAGAGGTCTGAGCAGAGGTGCAGAATCTGACAAACTTCCTTTTCCCTGCCGTGCTGAAACAAGCCGATTCAGAACTTAAGGACCACTCCTCCAGGCTCAAAGATTGTCCCAGGCTTCTCTGATACGTTTTTCTTTAAGCTGCATTCTCTTGAGGCAGTGCTGATGAGGCACCAGGAAAGGCTCAGACCTCCTTCAGGTTGGACATCAGGAACTATTTCTTCTCAGTCAGTGGCGATGCAGTGGGATGAGGTTCAACAAGGCCAAGTGTCGGGTTCTGCACTTTGGCCACAACAACCCCAGGCAGCGTTACAGGCTTGGGGATGAGTGGTTGGACGAGTGTGAAGAAGAGAAGGACCTGGGGGTGTTGGTTGGTGCTCGGTTGAATGTGAGCCCACAGTGTGCCCAGGTGGCCAAGAGGGCCAACGGCGTCCTGGCCTGCATTAGAAATGGTGTGGCCAGCAGAAGCAGGGAGGTGAGCATCCCCCTGTACTCAGCACTGGTGAGGCTGCATCTCGAGTACTGTGTTCAGTTTTGGGTCCCTCACTGCAGGAAAGATGTTGAGATCCTGGAGCGTGTGCAGAGAAGGGCAACAAAACTGGTGAGGGGTCTGGAGCACAAGTCATGAGGAGCGGCTGAGGGAGCTGGGATTGTTCAGTGTGGAGAAGAGGAGGCTCAGGGGAGACCTCATTGCACTGTACAACTGCATGAAGGGAGGTTGTGGTGAAGAGGGATTTGGCCTCTTCTGCCAGGCAACGAGCAGGACACGGGGCAATGGCCGCAAGTTTTATCAGAGGAGGTTCAGGTTGGACATAAGGAAGAACTTCTTCTCTCAGAGAGTAGTCAGGCACTGCAATGGCTGCCCAGGGAGGTGGTGGAGTCACCGTCCCTGGCAGTGTTCAAGAGGCGCCTGGATGACGTGCTGCGTGATATGGTTTAATACTAGTGGTGGCAATGGTGATGAGGAGACGGTTTGGACTGGATGATCTTATAGGTCGTTTCCAACCTTGGGATTCTTGTGATTCTTGTGATTCAGTGGCAGCTGCACAGGGCAGTGGGGGCTCTCCATCCCTGGAGGTGCTCCAGAGCCTTGGAGATGTGGCACCTGGGGACGCGGTTGGTGGGCATGGTGGGATGGGGTTGGACGTGGGGATCTTGGGGTTCTTCTCCAACCTCAGCGATTCTGTGATTCTATCACAGAGCTGAAGAGCTGGAGCCAACACCTGCAGGCCCAGCCCTGAGCTCTTGGCTCTGCTTTGCACCAGTGCTGTTTCTTTCCTGTAGGGGGTCAGAAAAACTGATGATCAGGTCCAGGCTGAGAGCTCCAGCACTCTGGTTAAAAGGGTTTCCTTCTCACCCCAAACGTTTTGGGGATGCTTTCAGCAGAACGTAGAGCCTCCTCCGCCAGCTGCCACCAGGCAGAGCTGGTCAGTGCTTGGTGCAGCTGCATCTCCGCAGCTTGAGGCCATCAGCAAGTAAAGCACAATGCATCCCAGTTCCATCCCTGTTGGAGCAGCTGGGCTTCGCTCTGGGTAAGGATGAGCCCTGGCCCCCCAACCTCCCAATCTGTGATCACCACTTGGTACTGGCACACCTCAACTGGAGCCCAGGAACACAAGAACGCTTTGGATCCATCTCAACTTTCCGTGTCTTCCAAGCAACGACCTCAGATCCTTACGAGGGGGCTGTTCCCAGCTTGGGTGAGCAAAGGAAGGTGAGTCCAGTGGAGTGGAGCCACGGGGCAAGACTTGCAAGTTGCTTCTGCAAAATGCCCCTTGTGCTCACATCTCCCAACCAGCTCGCCCTGATGGCTGACGCTGCCAAAGGATGCACTGAGGAAGCCCTAGAGACAACTCCTGTTTTGCAGCGGCGTTCTGCCAACAGGGAACACAGAAAAGTCCATTAAGGTCCATATGGCTGAAAGACAATCAGAGCTTAATACAGATTTAATAAATCCAAGTTACTTCTCGTTGCTACAGTAGCCTCCTTGAACCTCAGTGAGAGAAAGGAGGAATCTTATTTGAAGACTATACTGTTTGTATCCACAGCAGGTGTGACTGAAGCTGCCCCATTCATTGGCACTGCTCAGTTTTGTCCACATCCTTTATGCACTTGGAAGGGAAATTCAAGGGTAAGAAACTGGCCACAGAATTCACTTCACCCTCAGGTCTCTTGAGGGAAAAAGAATAACCGATGTCCTTCTGGATCTGACTGCTGAGCAAATATCTGCTGCATGTTACAGTTCCAGAGCTTTCAGATCCCTCAGGAAAATCATACTTGCTGTGTTTCACTACATAGCAGACTCACAGTTTGATATCTGAGTGAATGGCAACAATGCCAGAGTTCAAGTTCTGATAATCCACTTTTAAAAACAACTTCTATCATTGCCTTCAGCTCCTCCGGGGGGGGGGGGGGGGGCAAGCACTGGATGCTCTCCACAAGATACTGGTAAGACTTCCAGTCACCAGCAATAACCTCACCCAGAACAGGGAAATCTCACACAGACCTCTCAGAAACATAAATAAATGAGGGATTGGCGAGGCATTACCCCCATAACCTCATTCTTTTCTGTGGCACCGCTTCCCAAATCACAATCTCCCGTTCCTTAGGGGAGGAATAGGCCAGTTTACACACAGAACGCAGCATGGAGCAGACTGTGCCCCTCACACCATCCCTAACACCCCGGTGACCTGTCACACACACACCTACTTCCAAATCCTACGGCATGAAAGATGAATACAGCTGGCCTACCTCACATCATATTAGGATCCAGGGGAAAAAACCCTTCCTCAGTGCGGGATCTTTTTTCCCTACTTCCCTTGTTAGTTTGAGATGTTTCTCTGCCTTTCCCACTCCGGCGTCGCTGATCCTCCGTCACACAGCTGAGCTGTCAAATCTGAAGCCTCTTTTCTTCAGTTTGTAAAATACCATCTTAGAATCATAGAATCATAGAATCACCAAGGTTGGCAAAGACCTCAAAGCTCATCCAGTCCAACCGTTCACCCATCACCAACAGCTCCCACTGAACCACGGCCCTCAGCACAGCATCCAGCCT